AAAAAAAAAAAACAAAAAACAAAAAAAGACAGTCAGACAGACATCGACAAACCTGAATTATAGAACTTATAGATGGGACTTTTGACTCCAGGCTCCAAAGCCCGTTTTACTCCGTTGAAGCAGACTGGTTTAAAAGACTGTGTCGAGGCTTGTATCAAATCTGTGATCACGTGACCGATGAAGTTTGAGGCTTCATATGTCAATGAAACACCTGAAGCGAGGTGACTGATTCACATCTTTGGCGTGGCGTCATTCATTATAAGGAGACGTGAAATGCTTGGTGCTCCCTCCCTGCTTCATAGTAACACTTTCATGTGTGGACAATGATTCTCAGAATGAAGACAGCTGCTATTGCGGAGTATTGCTTTTGGGTTGAAACCGGTATCAACAAGCGGTGAATCAATTGAAAGTGGCTGCTATAATTGCAGCTGACCACTAGATGTCACTGGTAGGGGCTGTCTTTGAAGCTTTGAATCTTTTTTTGGTACAATCAGGAAAAAGCCTCAAAAGCTTCACAATGCTTCGTCTTCCCATCTCTAATAGAACTTGACTGAATAAGACTTACCACTTCCAATATGCCCATGGACACAAAAGCCAAAAAGTGCTAGAGAAAATCTGCAAAACAAAAACACATGTTAAACACACTTTGCTTTATAGAAACGAAAAAAAACAAAAACAAGGACCAAAACACCAAATTAAAATTAAACCTTAAGAGTTGGGCAGTGGTACCCTCCATGTTCAGCAAGAAAAAAAAAAAAACTTAACAAAATCAGGACACACATTTGTCCCCCCCACAGCACATATTAATGCTGTTGAACTGGACTTTTTATAGTGCCTGCTACTGCCAATTATCAGACAATCAGTTGTCATGGGAACATGTAATATACAGTTATTAGGTTCAGGTGTCACAGCCCTCATCACAGGAAAAGCTGACCTTCTATTGCAGACTTATTGAACTGATTTTGTCAAGCATATTTTTGTTTTACAGAATGAATGCATTCAATGAAAAAAAAAAAAGATGTTAGCGTTATTTAAAATATATTTTTACCAGATTGAATCGCCTATATCACTAGATTTAATAAGACATGTCAAGAATAATTAATATAATATTCCTATGGAGAGAACTGTGTAGAGCTTCTCCAAACATTGAATATTAAACAACATATAATGAAAATTTTATAATGCTAAAAATCATTAGAAAAAATTTATCAGAACATATGGCTACTTTTAAATGGCTGTCATTAGCGAAAGATGCCTTTTGTCCCATAATAGTGAAGTTATGGCATTTTAGGAACTCTGGTCATACTTTGTACTCTAAGAAATGAGATAGCCTATGTAAATTATACATACCTTACACACCAACATTCAACATTCACTGTTTTCATATGCTTGTAGAAACCCTTAGAATAACTTGTATAGCTACTAAGCTATTTCAGTTTATGTTATTAATCATGGTAATTAAAGTACATAAAGTATAGGGATATTTTCTTTTGCAGTAGTTTTAACTTAATTGGTACAAGATTTTTTTTGTAAATACTACAAAAAAATTAAAAATAAAAATAAACAAAATTAAAAAAAATAAAATTCAGTTAGATGTTTGCATGTCTCGCTGGAGAAACCTCAAATGATTTCAATGAAATACAAAGACAGCCTCCAGAATCAAGGGACCTCAAACCCAAGGCTATGAAGAGAGAGCCAGCAGCATAAAATAATGTTACGAAATGATAAACATAATGTTGTGAAATGAAATTTTTTAATTGATGCTGAGCAAACAAGATACTTATTGCATCTGTGATATATATATCATATATACCCCAGCAGTCCCTCAAAAGAACTGAGTTTCAAGTATGAGTCATGTGAAACACAAGTCACAGCACTCAATAAAAGAGCTCAAAAATGTGTAGAACAAGTTAAATGGCATGGTTGCTTAAGCAAGTGTGTTTTTATAGTTTATAGTTTAGTGAAGGTGATAAGTTATTTCAAAACGACATAATATGAAACAGGACACAGAGTGATGAACTTGAGTCAGCAGCAGGAATGAGCAGAGGGGAGGACACAGCTGACTCAGAGACACTCCATGACAAATCTTGTTATTACTGGAGCGTCTCTTCTGAAAAACTGGTTCCAGCTGTTGGTAGCATAATAGTTAAACATGGTCTCACTCGTGATAATTTTAGCTGATTTGATTGTAATGAGGTTTACATTACTGCTCAAACGTTTTTAGGAGTTTTTTTTAATTGAGAATCTTAAGATCAGCAAGGGAGCATTTATTTGAACCATACAGACGAAACAGTAAGATCCATTTTCAGCATCAATTACTCCAGTCTTCAGTGTAGAAGCATTTCTTATCACAGTTGAAAATGGCTGTGCTGCTTAATAAATGTGGAAATTGTGATCCAGTGTCTTTTTCGAGATTAACAAAGTTTGAAGGACAGCATTTATTTTTGTAATATTATAAATGTCTTTACTGTCATTTTTGACAAATTGAATGCATCCTTGCAATTTAATTTAAATTAATTAATTAATAAAATAATAAATAAATAAAATCATACCTATCCAAAACTTTTGAACAATGGTGCATATTTAATAAGCATATCTGCAGTGTATTCAGGTCTGTTTTTTTTTTGTCCCACACCTCTGTAAATGTGACATTTTTAAATCTTTGTGTGAGTGTGATGCAATATTAAAAAAGTGAGTTTTTTGTTTGTTTTAGGCTATTTACAGTAGGTAGTTCAATTAGACCTACTTCATTTTTTTGTGCTTAATTTAATTTTTTTTTTTAAATAATTATATCTCTCCAATAATTTCTCTTTTTCCCACTCCCCCCGTCTGACTGGAAGAGGTTGAGGTACTGGTCTGCTTATCTCTAATGATTGGAAATGTATTCCTTTACCATCTCTGAGTATCAACAGCTCCTTTGAATCACATTCAGCCACTATTACCCACCCTCTTAAAATCCATTTTATAGTTGTTTATTGGCCCCCAGGACGACTAGGTAACTTCGTGGAAGAATTAGATGTGCTGCTCTCAAACTTTCCTGAGGATGGTACTCCCCTAGTTATGCTTGGAGACTTCAACATCCACCTAGATCAATCTCAGGCTGCAGACTTCCACACTCTGCTTGCCTCTTTTGATCTCAAGAGAGTGTTAACTACGGCTACTCACAAATAAGCAGTGGTGGAAAGAGTACTGAAAATTTGTACTCAAGTACAAGTACTGTTACATTGCTGAAATAAACTCAATTACAAGTAAAAGTACTGGTGTCAAAACAGTACTTAAGTAAAAGTACAAAGTACTCCTTTCAAAAACTACTCAGGAGTACTAGTTACTAGTTACTTTTTAGCTGGCGATATTTAAAGAGGTCATATGACGTTGCTAAAAAGAACATTATGTTGTGTATTTGGTGTAATGCAATGTGTTTATGCGGTTTAAGGTTAAAAAAACATATTATTTTCCACATAATGTACATTGTTGTTGCTCCTCTATGCCCTGCCTTAGGAGTCGCGTCGATTTTTACAAAGATCATCAGTCTGAAAAGCGAGGTGTATGCTGATTGGCCAGCTATCAGTGCGTTGTGATTGGCCGAATACCTCAACCATGTGACGGAAATGTTACGCCCCTACCATACTGTGATGCCGTGTGTCCCGGCGCGACGAGACAAAACCTATAAAACCCATTACAAACTAGGCACTTGTTGCATTCAGTGGGGACATAATTACTGATTATAATGACTTATACTGTCTTTTTACGCGTTGCGTATCGCGCTGCGTAAACATAAAACCATGTCTGCATTTGTGAACGGAGAAATGACAAACAACAAGCCCTACTCTACA